AGTCTTTTAAATTTCCTGATATTCATTAGTGAGTATGCACAGGGTTGCACCTGTTCGCTGAAAAACCTCAGTTGATATTCTGTCAGTTCCTGAAGCTTTCTTTTTAAAAAAATTTATTTTATTTTATTATTTTTTGTGTCTGTACCATCAAATCAAATCTGACTGGTACAGGAGGAAAGTGTCCCTCCTTCTCCAGCAGAGCATCTGGTGGATTCAAACCGCGTACCTCTGGGATTGCAGTGCAGCTTCTTGCCACTAGGCCACCAGATCTCCCTTGAAGCTTTATTTTTTGTGACTATTTTCAGTGCAGGTTTGGCTTCTTCCTTCAGTACCATTGGTTCCCAATCACACGCCTCTTTCTGAAGGGATTTGGTGTTGACTATTTTTGAAAGAGTGACTCTGTGTGTTCTTTCCATCTTCATTTGATGCCACCTGAGCCATTCACTATTTGCTCATAGAATATTTCAGTATTAGAAACCAAAGCTTCAATGTCTTTCACTCTTTCAGCTTGGGAAATGCTAAATATGTTCTTCCCTTTTGGTTTTCTAACTCGAGGTCTTTGCCCATTTTGCTGTTTTTTTGTTCTTTCTTGTAAAATAGTTCTTCTTCCTTTTGTTTTAGCTCCTCTTCATTTAAAACACATTTTAGTCTCTTCTGACATCCATTTTGGTCTTTTGTTTTTAGTTTTTGTGGTGTTTTTTTTTTATTTTATTTTATTTATTTTTTTTAAATTTTACTATTTTTGTGTAAGTGTACCATCAAATCAGATCTGACTGGTACAGGAGGAGATTGTCCCTCCTTCCCCGGCAGAGCATCTGGTGGATTCGAACCGTGCACCTCTGGTCTTTTGTTTTTAATCACCATGCTCCTTTTTCCTTGCATGATGTCCTTGATGCTATTCCCTGATTTCTCGTGTCATTAATGTTTTAGTGCATCAAATCTTTTCTTGGGATGGTCTTTAAATTCAGGCGAGGTGTACTCAAGGTAATATATCGTCTCTCATGATCTCATTGCCATTTTCTTTATCTGCATTTTGAACTTGCATATTAGCAAATGATAGTCTGTTCCATAGTCAGCACCTGGCCCAGTTCTGACTGCTAGCAATGAACTTCACCACTATGTCTTTCAACAGATATAATCAATTTGTTCCCTCTTGAGTCCATCAGGTGAAATCCATGTGTATAGTTGCCATATATGTTTTTTAAGAGAACGTATATGCAAATAAATATCAAAGTTCTGTCATGAAATCTCTTGCCTCATTTCTATCCCCAAGGTCCTTTTTCTACCAATTCTTCTTGTGTGGTTTGATTTCAATTTTTTGTTAGTTTGCTTATAATCATTCATATACATCATAGTTTGTCCATGTACTTTATGTTTTATACAATCATTCATATTGTTGTTGTTGTTAGGTGCCATCGAGTTAAGTGTGACTCACAGAGACCCTACGATCAATACATCTGAACCCTGTCCTATCCTGTGCCATCCTCACACTTCCTGATGCATTAGAGCCCACTGTGGCAGTCACTATGTCAAACCAACTGGTTGGAGGTCGTCCTGTCCTTCACGGACCCTCGGCCTTTTTAAGCATCATGTCCCTCTCCAAGGACTAGCCCATCCTAGCAATATGCTTGAAGCATGTGAAGCAAAGCTTTATCATCTTTGCCTCCAAAGAGCCCTCTGGCTGCGTCCTCTTCAAGACATATTTGTTTGTTCTCTTGGCCGTCAATGGAATGTTCAGTGCTCTTCTCCAACACCACAGCTCAAAGGTGTCAATTCTTCTGTTATCCTTATGCATTGTCCAGCTCTCAGATGCACAGCAAGTGATTGGAAAAATGATGGGCTGAGTCAGACGCACCTTAGTTCTCAAACAGACATGATTATTCCTCAATAATTTGAAGAGGTCCCAAAACTTTCCCCGTGCAATATGTCTCCTGATTTCCTGACTGCTATTACCAAGGGTGTTGATTGTGGATCCAAGTAAGATGAAGTCGTTGGCAGTTTCAATCTTTTGTCCATCTAACATGTTGTTGCCTATTCAGTCCAGTGGTAAGAATTAATTTTTTGTTGACGTTGAGACACAATCCATATTGAAGGCTATATTCCTTGATCTGAAACAAGTGCTTCAAGTCCTCCTCACTTTGGGCAAGCAAGCTTGTGCCCTCTGTATAATTCAGGTTATTGATGTGTCTTCCTCCGATCCTGAGGCCACATTCCTCCTCGTAGCATCCAGCTTCTTGATTCATCTATGTACACTGTATTTTACATAATCCATTACCGTTGCTAGTCCGCCAATGAAATGGATTGACCATGTGACTTCAGCAATGTGCTTAAGTGTTTCAGAAATGATGAAGAAGGCACAGATAAGGGCAGGGTTCAGGGTGGCTATTCATAGGGTCATTATAAGTCATACACAATTTGACGGCCCCTGACAACAATAAAATGATGCCTATTATCACCCTGTCTTTTCAATCCCCCATTAATCCTTTCTCATTACTTCATACCGCTCCCACCCACTAACCTCTCACATCCCAGTGATTTTTTCCCCTCTTCCCTTTTTGTTGCCCCTTTTCTCCTTTCCTTTTTGAACATTAATCCATCTCTTACTTCTCACAATGGTGGCCTTATGCAATACATGTCCTTATGTGACATATATATCATGAAGCAAAATGCTCTCTAGTGTCTCCAAAATTACATAGTATTTTAGTGTTGCTCCTCAGTCCTGCATAGTATGCCATTGCATTTCTCAGTCCATTCTTTTATTGATGGGCATTTGGGCCACTTCCACTTTCTTGCTATTGTGAAGAACACGTCTGTGATCGTAGGTGTACAAATGTCCATTCATGTCTCACTTCTGGTTTCTTTGGGATATAGTCCCAGCAAGTGAAATAGCCAGGTCATATGGAATTTCTGTGTTTAGCTTTTTGAGGAAATGCCCAACCACCTTCCATAGCAGTTGTACCATTCTACAATTCCATCAGCAGTGCATACGAGTCCCACTCGCTCCATAGCCTCTCCAATACTGATTGTTTGCTCTTTTGTTGAACTTCGCTACTGCTGTTGGAGTGAAGCGGTTAATTGTTGTTTTGATTGCATCTCTCTGATTGCTAGTGATTTTGAACATTTCCTCATGTGTTTCTTGACCATCTGAATGTCTTCCTTTGTGAAATGTCTTTTCATTCCTTTTGCCCATTTTCTGATTGTGTTATCAGTCTTTTTCTCATGGGGGCCATGTAGTATTCTATGAACTTTGGTTATAAGATCCTTATCTGAGGGGGGAGGGATTGTATAAAATGAAAGAATTTTTCTTTAACTTTTCAAAGAGAAAAGTAAACTGGGGGGGGAGGTTGGGCAGGGAGAAAAGTGCAACAATGAATGAATGGAAATTAATTAATATTATCTTAATAATATTAATAAAATTTTAATAATAAATTAAAATTAATTTTTAAAAAATGAAAAATGAAAAAAGATCCTTATCTGAGATGTCATCACCAAATGTTTTTCCAAAGTGTGGGGTTGCCTTTTACTCTACTGGAGAACAGTTTTGATACGTTCAGGGATTTGATTTTAAGAAAGTTCCATTTTTCAATCTTGTTTTCTCCAGGTTGTGCATTTTTTTGTCCTATGTTTGCAAGCCTATTTATGCTGTAGACCAGGCCTTCCAATTTTGCTCCCATTTTGTCTCTTATAATCTTTATGGTTTGGAGTTTTACTCCTAGGTCTCTGATCCACTTTGAGGTTTTTTTTTTGTCTAGTGTGAGATGTGGATCCTGTTTCACCTTTCTATAAGCAGATGCCCAGTTTTGCCAGCAACATTTGTTAAAGAGCCAGTCTTTTCTTCATTTAATTGGTTGTATTGGCAAGTGTCAGTTGACCATAGCTTGATTTTAGTATTCTCCATTCTATTCCCTTAATCTAGATGTCTGTCTTTGTACTAATACCATGCTGTTTTGATTACTACAGCTGTGTAGTAGGTTGTGATCAGGAAGTGAGATGCCTCCAACTTCATTTTTGGTTTTTTAGAAGAGCTTTGCTTATTCTGAGTCTCTTTCCTTTCCAAACAAAACTAGAAAATGCCTTTTCCAAATTCTTGAAGGATGAATTTGATATCTGTACTGAGATTGCATTGACTTATCACAATTAATGTTATTAATGAACTTTGGGTGCATGTTCAGCATTTTGCAAAGACTGAAGAAAAATTGTAGTACTGGCAAAGAATACTGGACATTCCATGGACTGCCAAGAATCCAAACAAATCTGTCTTGGGAGAAATGTGGCCACAGTGCTTCTTAGAAGCAAGGGTGGGGAGAGCTTATCTCACTAATTTTGAACATCTGGTTAGTAGAGGTCAGTGCTTGGGCATTAGGCTTGGAAGAGTGGAGGGTCCATGAAGGAGAGGAAGGGCCTCAAAGGAAGAAATGACATGATGACTGCAACAAAGGACTTAAATAAGTACCACTGACAGTGTGTGAATGATGTAGAATTGGTCAAAATGCATAGGATTACTACAAGTCAGAGTTGCCTTAACAGCACCAAACAACAGGTTCCCAGTCCCTGTCCTCAGACTACCTCAGCACAGGTCCAGAATAAGAGTTAAGGGCTGGCTCTCTCTCAGACCAAGAGTCTCTGAGGCACCACAGATCAGCTTCAGCTGTCCCTTTAGTGTGCTTTGACAGTCCTGTTCAGGTTGACAAGTAACTCAGAGAGTTATTCAGGAAGTAACTCAAAGGCTCCGAGAGAAGGTGTTGCTAGGCGACCTAGAGACCACTGAGAGACTTTAATAGCTACATGCTTGTCCATTCTCGTCAATTCCCGAGGTATTATTTCTGAGCATTTTCCTGATCTCTTAGCATACTTCCTACGAACTTTTTCCCCAAGGGAATTTTCTACGTACAAGTGCTTTGGAGAAACCAGGCTGAGTAAGCCAGGGCCTCAGACCCCAGGGTTTGAAATGCTCTGTGACTGGAGCCACACATAAGGTGTCTGCTTCCCTCCTCCTCCAGGACATCACCAGTTTGCTGCACACCATCTACGAGGTGGTCGATTCCTCCGTCAATCACTCTTCAACATCAAGCAAGACTCTGCGGGTAAAGCTCACAGTGGCCCCTGATGGAAGCCAGAGCAAGAAGAGTGCCCTTCTTAATCCCGCTGGTGAGAATGGCCTCAGGGACAAGACTCTCAGAACTCCCACTCTCCTCAGAAAGGATGCGAGCTCCGCCTGGAAGAAGAAGGGAGTCCCGGAGTCTTTAGTGGGAGCTGTTTGGAGGGGGAAGTATAGCGTGGGCTGATTTTTGAGGGTGTAGGACTTGGAAAGGGAAAAGGGAGGAAAAGATTCTGGGTGGAGGACCAGTGTAAGCAGAGCCCTGGCGGTGGGAATGGGAATAGCAGGCAGCCGGGAGACTTAATGAACTGGTGCTCTGTATTGTGCTAAGGGCTAAGAGTCTGGAGGTGTAGATCAGAGAGGGACATGGTTGCTGTGAAGCTGAACACTGTGACACTGATGTGTCAAATGCGTTAATGGTCACCCATGGTGGACAGTGTTTGGTGGAGCTCCCCAATTAAAACAATCTTGGAAGCAGGAGTGGCATCCACTTCCACAATAGCTTGCCTCTGGAAACTCTATGAACCTGGAGAAAGGACGAAAGTTATACAGGTGCCCAGGTCTTTTGTTCATAGGGTCGCTATGAGTCGCCCACAACTCGACGGCACTTAATAACAACAACTACAACAACTATTTAGTTCCAGCCTGGGGAAACCTTCCCATTCAACAGTTGTGAAACTGTGGTTGGCCAACTTTTCAGGGGCTGAGAAGCTTAGAAAACCAGGCAAGTCCCAGAGGGTGTGGCAGGACACAGGAACAAAATGTTCATGGAGTGTTTATTGGGCTTCTCAGGGGCTTCCGATCTGCAGAGCATGCGTCCCAGAGCAGAGAACAAGCCAACGGAAGAGCTGCAAAGTGGAGAGAAGCAGCGACAAGCCCCACTCAGGTACGGTGTGTACCAGCTGTGAACTAGCTGGGTACCTGTCCTGAAGGAGGCTTTCCTCCAGGACCAATGGTCTCAGAGTCACAGACTTGCAAATCAAACTATTTTTAGAACACAGCTAAAATGTTCTGGACCAGATCTATGCGTCGAAGTTTTGAGATTTTTAGAAAGGGGCTCCCAGTGTGTTTCTCATATGTTGTATGTGAGATCTGAGTAACACCTCGGCCTCAAATACCCTATCATGTTTCTGCAGGGAGGGTTAATACTCATGGAACTGAAGGCTGTAACTACCTTTGCATTCACTTAGTTATGAATGAAATGGATTATGAATTATGACTGAAATGGAAAGCCATTTGGTTTGTTTAGATTTTTGGGCTTCGGACTTAAAGACAAAAAGTCGACGAAGTGTAATGACGGTGAAACTTGCTGCTGTTATCTCCTTCGCTGGAATGAGAGGAGGAGGAGTGGGAGAGAGGAAAGTAAAGAGACTATTTCAAGAACGATACTGAGCAGATAACAGTGATGCGATAGAAGCAGCGTTAGGACAGGCGGACACACCGGAAATGGATAGGAGTGACGGACTGAGGAGAAGCATTGACATGGGGCAGGAAGAGACAGGGACTTCCAGCCAGGGCAGCGAGAATGAGGGTTTTAGGGTACTTTTCATGAGGGGTGGGAAGAGGGATAAAAATGGAGGTATCTACACTGCTCTCCAGCAGGTTGAGAGGATCAATGAGGACCTTGAATGAGAGGGGCAAGGGACTCAATGTCCTGGCATTTCTGCCGCCTTTCCTGATCATATAATGCACTGCTGAAGCCCATCCTGGGCTTTGGAACATGCTATGAAGTTAGCCAGCCTTGATGCCAACACTTCAGAAGCCTTCTGCTGTTCACAGTGCTTGGGTCAGTTGGCTAGAGGTTAGGCTGCCAGCCTGTGGTGGGCACACATGGCTTGAAACTTGCATTTGGGGCATCCATATATTTCTACTAGTAACCGCTCACATTTGCTTCAAGTCATTCCTCCCAGAAATCCCAGAGAGGGTGGGGTGAGAGTGAGTAATATCATTGCTGGAGGAAGGGATGGGGAGAGGGGGGAAACCAAGGCACAGGGAGCAAGCAGAAATGACTAGTCTTTCCTGTAGCCTCTTCCCAAGACCAGGGGAAATTAGAGAAGAGTCTAGAGCTCTAAGTAACTTGTGACACTGCCCTCCCCTGGTGGCCGGCTTGCCAGGGTTTACCAGCTCACTTCCTTCTCCCATGTAGGTTCCAGGGTGACAGCTGCCTGGAGCAGTCTGGCTGCTACCACCACTATGTTGATGAGAACATCGAGAGGAGAAACCACTACTTAGATCTCGCTGGGATAGAAAACTACACGTCCCAGTTTGGGCCTGGTAAGACAGTACCTGCGTCTCCCCGGTTGGACAAATGGGGGCACGGCTGAGCGAGGAAGCAGGCTGTATGGATATGGTCAGTATAGCCTGAGGACAACATAATAACTTATCAGCCAGGTCAAAGAGGCTTAGAGGAAGGTATATAACAGGCGTTTCCCCCCACCCCTAGTGAAGGTAATACCTGCACAGAGTTGGACAAAATAAAATCATATCCAAGGACTGTCTGTTGCAACCGTCCCCCGGCCCTGCTCCTTAATGATCCTAAGCATATTTCTTCATCAGCTTTCTACACCACCTATTGACCTCTTTCTAAAGTATGTGAAGACATAGCTCACTCGCTTTCTCTCACCTTTCTTCTAATCTGCTTAATTCTGTCTGAGTTACCTCTCTACACTTAGAATATATTCACAGAATCTTTTCTTGTTCCAATGACTGTGGACAGCTTTCAGTATCCCGCTGCCTTTCTGCCTCATTCTGTCAGAATAAATTACTATTTTTGAATATGTACCATTTAAGTCTTCACTTAGTAGATGGGAAAACCAAAGTCCTGTTTCCAAAGGATTTCTTTGAAGGCCTGGAGGCTTCCTTAAAGGGCAGCTCTGATAAAGAATACCTCATGTTGGTCCATCTTGGAGAACTAGGTGGGGGTTGAATTCTGGGGTACAGCGGAGATACCAGCGCTAGTCAGTGCTCATGACGTATCTGTTGGCTTGATTCCTAGGTTCCCCTTCAGTGGCCCAGAAGTCAGAACTGCCTCCCCGCACCTCGAACCCCGTTCGCTCTTGCTCCCACCAGCCGGAGGTCAGCCATGGCCCACACCGGAAATCCCAAGTCACAGAGCCAGGCTCCTTCCACTGCCTGGACACCCCCTTCACCAAGGTCTCAGAGGCTCAGCAGCGGCTCCGGGGCACCCAGGATGGGAGCAAGCACTTTGTGAGGTCCCCCAAGGCCCAAGGCAAGAGCACAGGTGTGGGCCACACAGCCAGGGGGCCCAGAAGCAAACCCCCTCTGGGGCCCACCAGCTCTTTGATGTCACCTCCTGCTCATCTGGCTACCAACCCGGCCCTCGTCCCCACCCTGGCACCCCTTGGGCACAAGAAGCACAAGCACCGAACCAAGGAGAGCCAGCAGGGGTGCCGAGGGGTGCAGCCCCCGCCGGGGGCCGGTGGTGTGGTGGTGGGGCGGGAGCACGTGCGGGAGCTGCCGGCCGTGGTGGTGTACGAGAGCCAGGCCGGGCACGTAGTGCAGAGACACGACCATCACCACCATCACGAGCACCACCACCATTACCACCACTTCTACCAGACCTAGACCCCTGCTCCGCCACATGAAGGAACCCCTCTCCCCGACACCCGCCAGGCATTACTATTCTGTTAATGATGATGATTGTTATTAATGATTATTGTTTATCCACTAATATTCTCCTAGACTCCGTGTAGAAGAGTTATGGAAACACAGAACTAAAACAGTTTTATTTATATGTGGTGGGGACTGCATAACTGACCCCCCTGAAAAATGACTGGGTTTGGAAGCGGCCTGTCAGTGGCAGGACCCGTCTCTTGCTCCCTTGTGGATCCCGCACACCCTTCCCAAGCCAGAATTCTGCTCCCGCCCGTGTCTCCCAGAAGAACGTCTTTTTTTTTTTTTCTGGGCTGACTTCCAGAGACCCTTGGAATCTTCCAGAAGATAAACAGCTGCTACCTCTTAGTATTATTCTGCGTTTATTTCCCCCCCCCCTTCCCTGGTTGTCATGTGCTGCGAGGGGTTTGCACGGACTGCAGATGGGTGACCACCTTGGTGTAGTGTTTTTCTGTCCCAACCTAGAGACCGCCACTGTCATTTCCACGAGAGACTGTTCTCTCTCCTGGGCCGAATCAATCCCATCTTCCCACCCTGCACAACAGGACACACACTGCTCTTTCTCCTCCTCTTTTCCTCTTTACAATGATGTAGACACACGTGTCTGAGGCTGTCTCAGAAAAACCAGCCTTCTCATGTAGGAAACTGCTGAAGAGGGAACTGACCACATCAGCAAGCCTGGTTTTCCAAGATTGGGCAACTGCATGTCGCCGATCGTGACTGAACACGGAGCCCTCATGTTTCACCATTGGCAAATGTACTACATGGCTCTCCACCAGAGCTTTTTGTATCTGTAGATAGCTCCCATCTGTCTGTTTCTATGTATCTTTCTATAAATATACACTCTCAGGTACTTCTTCTGTGTGGAGGAATTAGTGGTTTGCTTCTCTGGAGGCTCTCTGAGCTCAGACGTGAGCCTGGTACCTTCTGTTGGAGTTGACAGTCCATCAACTATGAGTAGCAACTGACCATCTCAGAGCTCCTCTGTCGGAGTTGGGGTTAACCTTCTGGAGTTTAGAAGCTTGGAAGGAAATGAGAGCAGCGACCAGAGTTGAGTCCTACAGAGCAAGAACATTTCTGATCAGGTTCTGGAGAGTTTAGATGAAGCCCCTCTGGCCAGTAGTGGTGCCAGTGAAAACATCCACATTCAAATTGGGTGAGATGAGGAAACTATTAGAGGTGCAACATAGAGTGTGGGCAAAACCAGAGAGCACGCAGAATTTGGGGGCTAATACTGTACGGTGTGTTCTCACGCCTGGGCTTGAGCGGATGAGAGAGAGGGAGTTCTCCACGGAAGGATGGATGGAGCTAGTGTAGCTGAGAGAATAGTGGTCTTCTGTTGAAGGTATACAGATGGACTGAGGGGACCCTGCAGGGAAATGAGCCTCCTGCCTCTTCTGAATAGTGGCAGCATATTCTGAGCCAGTGGAAGCCAGAGCAGAGGAGAGTGTGTTAATGTGACCATATGGGCAAAGAAAATGGGGGGAAACTCAAGAAGAAAAATCACCCTCCTGTCTGCTCGTCAGACTCACAGCTGGCTTCTCTTTTTCAGAGCCTCTTTTGTTGCGATGTGATTAAGGAAGAGTTGGGTTTGGAAGACAGTGGGCGTACACTATGTCACTGTGTTATCTTGGTCATTACTAATGTGCCTGCGACAGGATGCTGCCATTTAATCCTTATGACTATCGTAGGCATTGGAAACGCAGGGAACACATCTGAGATTCAGGAAAGGTTACCGCATTGGCTTGAAACCACACGGCAGGTGCAGAGCTGTGGCAAACAGCCTCCTGTGTCCCTTAACTAGAGAGTTCTTTCTGGCTAAGCCTTGCTGTTATGGGTTGTTGTTGCTGACTGCCTTGGAGTTGAGCACGACTCATAGTGACCCTATGAAAAGAAGGTCTGAACCCTTTCTATGACTATCGACATGTATCTAAGTTCATAGAGTTTCCGGAGGCATGTTGTTTAGGAAGTGGATGCCACTCCTGCTTCCAAACTTGTCTTAAACTGGGAGCTCCACCCAACATTGTCCACCACGGGTAACCATTATGGCATTTGACACCCCAATGGCACAAAGTTCAGCATCATAGCAACCCCCAGGTTACCTCAGTACAGCGTATTGACAGAAGAGTGCTGTACCACAGTGGTGAGGGTTGTTGTTTTCTTGATGTGGAGATGTTATGGTTAGTGGGCTCTTATCAGGATCAATCGAAATGCAATGTTGCCAAACCAGGGGCAAGTTCTGAGGCCACAGGACCCAGGGACGTGAATAAATGAAGCAGAGACATGTTGGTTCTTGTCTCTCTTAACTCTGTACCACAACATGCTTTATCGCACAGCTAGCGGTGACTGCTGACACTCTTCCATGACCTCTGACCAGGAACAGGCCAGGGGAGGATTCTGATTGACTTAGGCTAAAATCCGTACCTATGCTTAGCTCAGTCACCTTGGAGACCATGTGTCTACCGTGGGGCACAGGGGCAGTCTGAACCAGGAGAGGAGTACTGAGAGAAAAAAAAAGAGAATTCATGCCACCTGAGACCCACAATGGCTGCAATAATTACCCACATTCCCAGGGATCCCTCCGTGAGAGCCTTTCCAGAAGCATCCCCTAGTGCCATAGCTGTCACAAGCCCACGAATTGTTGTTGTTGTTGTTGCTTGGAATGTTCCTTATTTATGGTCATCCTTTTTAAAAATAGTAACGTGTAAAAGATTCAAATATCACACACAAAAATATAATAAAAAGTAAACTTCTCTCTGCTCCCCCCTCTCCAGCATCCTTCAGCTTCCTTCTCTGTTACTAACATCTTAGAGACCTTTCTCAAGCTACTAACTGTTCAGTCTATTACGGTTTTTAAGCACAAGCTTTTCATGCCTGCTGCCCAGGTTCAACTGCTGGCTCACTATTTTAGCAGCTCTGTGCTTCAAGTGAATTCATTTACCCCTCAGTGTGTCTGTCTCTTACCCTGTTGTTGTTGTTGTTGTTATGTGCCGTTGAGTCGTTTGCGACTCATAGCGACCCTATGCACAACAGCCCTAAACCCTGCTCTATCCTGCACCAACCGCACTGCCTCTGACACACCCATCCTGATTACCCCAGTCACCGAATCAATCCACCTCATAGAGAGTCTTCCCCTCCTGCACTGTCCCTCCAACCTCCCAAGCATGATGTCCCTCTCTAATAGATCTCAAATCCATTGATGTGGAGTTGATTCCAACTCATTGCAACCCCAAAATGTCACAAAGTGGAGTCACGCTCCAAGAGGAGTTCGTGTCTGTGGTTTGAAAGAAGCCAACTGCCCGGACTTTCCCTGCGAGCCCAGTGGGTGGGTTCAAACCATTAGACATTTTGTTAGTACCAAGCAAAATTATTTTTCCACCTGTTGTTGTTGTATACTCTCCTATCCAGCAGGTTGTCAGAGGCAGTAAATTGTGTGAGAGGAGGTTCAGCCTTCTCCCATGGAGCAGCTAGTAGATTCAAACCGTGTGACTTTGAGATTGGAGCGCAGCTAAATGTACTATGAAAATGTTAGCCGTTATTTACAAGAGTAAATGCCTTCCTAGAAAGGATCTCTCCATTTAAATTTTCTTTTCAACATTTTCAAGTTTGATAAGGAAAGTTGTGTGACAAAAGCTGCCAGATCTTGCCAATGTTCCATGTTGTATTATTGATTTCAGATCTATTTTTTCTTCTTCTTCTTTTATTTTATTAATTATCCCCCACCCTTGGATATCATTGAATCGGATCTGACTGGCACAGGAGATTGCCCCTCCTTTTCCAGCAGAGCATCTGGTGGATTCGAACCACGTGCTTTTGAGATTGCAGCGCACCTTCCTGCTACTAGGCCACCAGAGCTCCAGATCTATTATTTTAAAGAAAGAAAGCGCTTTCTTTCTTAAGTTATTACAGTTAGTGCCTAATCACCTTTCTCCCTTGCCCCTTCACTTTTATAAGAGCGTACTTTCACTCTCTTTCTCTCTGACCGAATGCATATAGAGTTCTTCTCTCTGTCACACAGCTCTGGCCCATTCTTTGACAGTTACTCAGCATTGTGTTACAGGGAGCCACTGTCATGTACTTATCTCATTCCCTCTGATGTATCTGTAGATTCTTTCTCATCCTGGACTGTGATGGACACAAGGATGCTACATGGCTTGTGCTGGTGCCCACTGATAGGGGACCTGACAAGAGTCCTAGAGGTAGAATTACCAAGTTAGAGAACATGGGTGATTTCAGTTCTGATGCTAATGTAAATGATCCCTGAGTGAAAGTATACCAAATAATGGCAAATTAAAAAACAAGAAAGAAGGAAAGAAAAAGGGTTGGAGAAAATTAAAAGTAGTTCAGGGTCAACCCGCTTCCTTGGAAAGGCTAATGAGCACATTTTCCCAAGGGCTAGAATGGGCAAGAAGTTTTGTCTTTGTAAAAACAGTGTGGCAAGCAAGAGGATGATGGCTCCTGACCACTACTAATTTTACAGGATAAAGGTCCCCATCAACAAGTTCAATGGCACAAAGCTGATTCCTATGAGGTCAGACATGTCCCCAAAGCTCCACACCTTCTAACAATGATCAACACAAATCGTTCCTACCACGGTGCTATTTCTCTTGGGTTCAGTAAATTTTTGCAATGACTATACAGAGCTCACAGATACTACTCACGACAGTGGAGTTTAGTAGGGACGCTATAGTTTATTATACAGGCTAACATTTAGGTGTAAGACTGGTCAGGATACCGTTCTTCATTTGGAGCTGCCTCTTCTAATCCTCTCTCTGCCCCTCAGCCTTCTGACCTTGAACTCTTCCCTCCTTGAACAAGTTTTAACAAAGCTCTCTTAGCTCTGCTCACTGTGTGCCCTTTAACTCTGCCAGCAAGCCTAAGCCCCAAAGTGCTCGGCAAGGTTCATGGGTCTTCAGACTTTGCTTCGTTGGTAAGAGCTCAAAGGAACCCAC